ATATGTAGAGAGAAAAGGCCAGAAACAAGTACTCATTCTGTGTCTGCTAAATGAGATACCCTATGCTAGACATCTCACATTCATGCCCTTATCTCTTCAATAACTGTGAATCTGGTGTAATTATTCGTGGTTGGGTGATGAGAAAAATGTTACTCAGAAAATATAGGTCACTTACATCTAATCATTAAAAGAGCTGGAGTGAAAGTCCACTCTACACAGCCCATGCACCCACCCATTCCCACATTATGTCCTTTTTGTTTCAGGTCCCTGACTTTGTAATTTCTTGCTATCTGACTCTACTGTAGACAAAGAATAGAAAACTTAGTAACTGCATGAACTCTTTGTTTGATGTCCTGATTTGAAATCCCAGGCCTAACTGTGTGACATGTATAAGGGATTTTTATAATTATTTACTTTAAAGGGACTATAAAATGGGAGAAAAAATATTGTACCATTTTATAGGAGTATTAAGAGGATTAAAGTAGAAAATGCAGAACAAGCCCTTCTGTGTAAAAAGCACTTGATAAACACTAGTTTGTGTTATTAGCTACTAGCAAGGACCAAAGACTAAAACAAAACTACTCGAGAAGCAACATGGTATCATGTTTCCCCCAGTCATTAAAACAAAAGACACGAAGCCGGGCACAGTGGCTCACACCTGTAATCCCAGCACCTTGGGAAGGTTGAGGGGGCATATCACGAGGTCAGGAATTCGAGACCATCCTGGCCAACATGGTGAAACCCCGTCTCCATTAAAAATAAAAAATTAGCCAGGCATGGTGGTGTGCACCTGTAGCCCCATCTACTCGAGAAGCGTGGCTGGAGAATTGCTTGAACCCGGAAGGCAGAGCTTATGGTGAGCTAAGATTGTGTCACTGCACTCCAGCCTGGGCAACAGAGCAAGACTCCGTCTCAATACAAACAAACAAACAAAAAAGACACATGGATGAATAAAGTCTGTTTTTTTGAAATAACTTTTGAAATAACTGAAAGCATATCACTCTAATTTATAGCCATCTCATACCTGAAGCAGTAGTTAGGTTTGTTAATACAACTCCTAGAAAAGGAGGGACTAATTTAAAATATCACTAGGCCCATTCTGTAGCATCCAACCTAGCAAAATCCATTCTCTGATTTTTGAAACAAGAGAAGTTCAAAGGTTAAAATGATCAGGAGGAAATAAAAAACACAAAAACTTACCATTTGCATCTTCTGAATAATTGTCTTTGGAATCCACTGTGGTGACATCTAGAAGAATGAGAGCAAGTACTAGTCAATTGTTCATGCCCATTATTTGTCAAGGGGTGTGTGCGTGTGTGTGTGTGTGTGTGTGTGTGTCTGCGTCCATGTGTAATTAAATGAATATCCATAAAATCTGTCAACAGAGAGGCAGGAAGACAGTTATTAACAATATGAGCCCCACAATCCCAGAAATAATTGGTCTGATTCTATGTAATTAGGTAGAGCTAATTCAAATATTACGTTTTTGCACATCAAGATGTTGAAGTTCATGAAGAATAGTTTTTTTTTCCTTTTTTATCACAACTGGAGTGTAGTTTCCAAGAACATTTGGTCTTCCTTCTGTGTTCATAGCTCCTAGCATGGTGCCTTTTTATTTATCAAAAACAGACCACAAAGTCTGTTTTTGATAAATACTTGTTCATTGGAAAAATAAACAGAACAAGTGGCTACTTTACAGCCTTCAGCACACACTGCTGACCTGAAATCAGCAAAAAAAAAAAAAAATAGTTTTGGGGTTTTTTTTTGTTTGTTTGTTTTGAGGCAGGGTGTCACTGTTGCCCAGGCTGGAGTGGAGTATAGTGTGATGTCATCATGGCTCACTGAAGCCTCGAACTCCCCATGTTCAGGAGATCCTCCCATCTCAGCCTCCCGAGTATCTGGGAGTACAGGCACACACCAACACACCCAGCTAATTTATGTACTTTTTGTAGAAACAGGGCTTTGCCATGTTGCCCAGGCTGGTTTCGAACTCCTGGGCTCAAGCAATCTTCCTGCCTTGTCCTCCCAAAATGCTGGGATTACAGGGATAAGACACCACACCCGGCCAAGAATTCTTTCAGTCCTAGAATCCACAACAGAATCTTATATGTTTGAAGGAGTCTGGCTTAGAAAAATTTCTCATCTAAGCAGGAAAAAGCAGTCATTCCTTTCCAAACCATGCATGTCCCCAACGGCTCGAGTAAGTACCCACGATTTTCTGGAGGTATGGTGTTTCTAGACATAACAACAACAATGTTAACAAAAGCTAATATCTACTGAGTGCTCGTTATTGTCTCAAGCACTATGTTAAATGCTTCCCATGCATTTTTTTTGTTTAATTTCCCAGTAACACTGAAGTGAGTTTTATTATGTATGGCCCCATGTTCTGAATGAGGAAATAAAGTTTAAAAAGTGCAGGCAACTTGCCAAGAGTTATATCAGTGAACAGCAGAGCCAGTATTCAGACAGTAGTCGTAGGGGAAGAAAAGAAATTGGACATTTGAAAAGTAGTTAGTAGAAATAATCCACAGAAATAGATAGAAAGTGATTTATAAAGAGACGATATAATATCACCATTGTGTACTCTAAGAAAATCTCTTTGAGTATGTTAATTACTCTCAGGAAAAGGTCTTTTTTATTATAGGAACTCAGCATTTCAGTGCAATTCTTTCTGGGACTAGAAAGAGACAGGCCAAGTCACACTGATAGTTCTCTGAATAAAATCTGAGGTGAGACTTGAATTTATCTGTGATTTTTTTTAAAAAAAAGGAAGACGCAAACATGCATACAAAGATAACATATTTTAAAACAGAAGAAAATAGAGTCACATTGGTGTTTGGGTTTATTATTTTTCTAGTAGATGTGTTCTTGTCTATATGAATATGACTGGTGTGCAATTTTATGTACTCACTGAGATCTTTATTTCATGTATTCTAAAAAAATGGACTTGAGGTATGGGTTTTGGGTAAGTCTCACAAAGGCAAATGTTAGTTATCATGTCTGCATGTCCAAATATCTTTAAGAGCTGATTTTAATGGGTTTTCAATGTCTTTTTATTTTCCTTAGGGTGACTTTATTTATTAAAAGATAAATGAAAATGACTATCACTTATTTCCATGCATTGATTGAGGTAAAAAGAATAAAGCAACTATTCCTGGTAATAAAATCTCTAAGTGTATCCTGAGTTCTCTCTCTCTCAGTCAAGATTGGTTGCAAATGTGGACCAGATTAGTTTGATCTCCTTCAAAAGCAGTACATTGATTATACAATATGATCACTTCCATGATATATTTTTAGCTTTTCTCAGAAAAACAAACTTCCAAGAAAGAGCATTAGAAATCTACTGTAGAATTTCATTAAGACAAGTGTCCTCCTTAATGTAGTTGCCTCAAGAAGTGCATGAAAGACAGTTTTCTTTTAGACTGGGCGCAGTGACTCACGTCTGTAATCCCAGCACTTTAGGAGGCTGAGGGGGAAGATCACGAGGTCAGGAATTCTAGACCAGCCTGGCCAACGTGGTGAAACCCAGTTTCTGCTAAAACTACAAAGGTTACCCAGACAGGGTAGCATGCGCCTTTAGTCCCAGGTACTTGAGAAACTGAGGCAGGAGAATCGTTTGAACTCCAGAGGCAGAAGTTGTAGTGAGGCGAGATTGCGTCACTACATTACAACCTGTTCAACAGAGTGAGACTCCGTCTCGAAAAAAAAGAAAGAAAGAAAAAAGACACATGGATGAATGGATGAATAAAGTCTGTTTTTTGAAATAACTAAAAGCATATCACTGTACTCTTCAATTTACAGTCATCTCATACCCAAAGCAGTAGTTAGATTTCTTAATACAACTCCTAGAAAAGGAGGGACTAATTTAAAATATCACGAGGTTCATCCTGCAGCATGCAACCTAGCAAAATCCTTTCCCTGATTTTTCAAGCCAGAGAAGTTCGAATCAGGAGGAAATAAAAAACACAAAAACTTACCATTTGCATCTTCTGAATAATTGCCTTTGGGATCCACTGTGGTGACATCTAGAAGAATTAGAGCAAGTACTAGTCAATTGTTCATGCCCATTATTTGTCAAGGGGTGTGTGTGTGTGTGTCTGTGTCTGTGTGTAATTAAATGAATATTTATAAAACCTGTCAAGTTTTTATAGGCAAGAGGCAAGAGGCCAGTTATTAAAAATATGAGCCCACAATCCTAGAAATAATTGGTCTGATGCTATGTAATTAGGTAGATCTAATTCATATATTATGTTTTGCACATCAAGATGCTGAAGTTCGTGAAGAATACTTTTTTCGTTTTTTATTCCAACTGGAGTGTAGTATCCAAGAACATTCGGTTTTCCTTCTGTATGCATAGCTCCTAGCACAGTGCCTGCCACAAAGTATGTTTTTGATCAATACTTGTTCAGTGGAAAAATAAACAGAACAAGTGGCTCCTTTACAGTCTTCAGCGCACACTGCTTACCTGAAATCAGCCAAAAAAAAAAAAAAAAACAAAAAACAAAAAACAAACAAAACAAAACAAAACAAAAAAGAAATAATTTTGTGATTTTTTTTTTTTTTTTTTTTTTTGAGGCAGCATCTCACTGTTGCCTAGGCTGGAGTGGAGTATAGTGTGGTGTCATCATGGCTCACTGAAGCCTCAAACTGCCCAGGGTCAGGTGATCTTCCCATCTCAGCCTCCCGAGTATCTGGGAGTCCAGGCACACACTGCCATGCCCAGCTAATTTATGTACTTTTTGTAGAGACAGGGTTTTGCCATGTTGCCCAGGCTGGTTTCGAACTCCTGGGCTCAAGCAATCTTCCTGCCTTGTCCTCCCAAAATGCTGGTATTACAGGGATAAGACACCACACCCGGCCAAGAATTCTTTCAGTCCTAGAATCCACGACGGAATCTTACAATGTTTGAAGGAGTCTAGTTTAGAAAAATTTCTCACCTAAGCAGAAAAAAGCAGTCATACCTTTTGAAGTTATGCATATTCCCAATGTCCCCAGCAAGTACCCATGATTTTTCTGGAGGTACAGTGTTTCCGGACATAACAACAACAACATTAACAAAAGCTTATATCTACTGAGTGTTCATTATTGTCTCAGGCACTATGTTAAATGCTTCCCATGCATTTTTTAATTCCCCAATAACACTGAAGTGAGTTGTATTATGTATGGCCCCATGTTCTGAATGAGGAAATAAAGTTTAAAAAGTGCAGGCAACTTGCCGAGAGTCGTATCAGTGAACAGCAGAGCCAGTATTCAGACAGTAGTCGTAGGGGAAGAAAAGAAATTGGACATTTGAAAAGTAGTTAGTAGAAATAATCCACAGAAATAGATAGAAAGTGATTTATAAAGAGATGATATAATATCACCATTGTGTACTCTAAGAAAATCTCTTTGAGTATGTTAATTACTCTCAGGAAAAGGTCTTTTTTATTATAGGAACTCAGCATTTCAGTGCAATTCTTTCTGGGACTAGAAAGAGACAGGCCAAGTCACACTGATAGTTCTCTGAATAAAATCTGAGGTGAGACTTGAATTTATCTGTGATTTTTTTTTAAAAAAAGGAAGACGCAAACATGCATACAAAGATAACATATTTTAAAACAGAAGAAAATAGAGTCACATTGGTGTTTGGGTTTATTATTTTTCTAGTAGATGTGTTATGGTCTATATGGATATGACTCTAGTGTGCAATTTTATGCACTCACTGAGATCTTTATTTCATGTATTCTAAAATAATGGACTTGAGGTATGGGTTTTGGGTAAGTCTCATGAATGCAAATGTTAGTTATCATGTCTGCATGTCCAAATATCTTTAAGAGTTGACTTTAATGGGTTTTCAATGTCTTTTTATTTTCCTTAGGGTAACTTTATTTATTAAAAGATAAATGAAAATGACTATCCTGGTGTGCAATTTTATGAACTCACTGAGATCTTTATTTCATGTATTCTAAAAAAATGGACTTGAGGTATGGGTTTTGGGTAAGTCTCACAAAGGCAAATGTTAGTTATCATGT